CCAATTACAAATAAAGGAGAGTAGCTGAAGCGTTCCATATAATGCTTAATCCTATTGCTCTCAATAGAAAGGAAGGCCTTACAATCTACCGAATGCTCAATTTATTCAAAATTATCAAATAAAAACTCGGTAATGATACCTATAATGTTGTATTATATTTATAAACATTTAGATTTGTGAAATTTACTATTATTCCCTTTCTTATATTCATTGAACTTAAAGTTTCCCATGTTTATATAAACAATTTCTTATTGAAGGATGCTAATTACAATAACAGATTAAAGAAGTACTCCTTCTTGTATTGGTTGTAAATAAAGGAGGAAAAGGTCGCTCACCGTTTAAAGTTAAGCTTTATTCAAATCAAGAACATGATCTCCCTGAATTCCCATCATTATTTCTCAAAACATATAAGTAGTACTTGTCAATCCTCAGTTTAATCATATACTCCATGCTCTATTCTTTTTAGGATCATAATTTTCGATCTGTTATTATTTTCATTATTTTCAACTTCATTCACTAAATTATTCAGTACTTTGGCTTATGGTTATAAAACTCCCTGTGATTTTAAGCTGTTTGCAGTTAAAGAGAAGCTGTGAAATAGAATGAATTTATTTTTTCATGTGAACCTTGTTATCTTTGCTCTGTTCAAATGTCTCGATGGATCAATATATGTAAGATATACTTAATCCTACACTGAAAATAAATCCAACAATATTTAATGATTTGCAGAATTCAACAAAATAATTGCAGGAATTTACTTAGAAAATATAATATCTAATAAATAAAAACACACATACTTGTTACCCCTCGTGGAGGGGCATAGGTCGACCACCAGCATTCTCAGTCTAACTCTGTCATCCACAATCCTTTCCAGTTCCTATCTATCCTTTTCATACCCTCTTCTATTTCCTGGCGTAATGAGTTCTTCGAACTTCCCCTTTTCATTCAAGATTAATAGTTGGTGCTTGCCTCGTGATGTAGTTTGGTGATTTCTTCATTGTGTATCCTATCCACTTCTAGCAGCTTTTCCTAATTTCCTCTTCAGCTTGAAGCTGGTTTGTTCTCTCCCACAGAAGGTTGTTGCTAATGATATTCAGTCAACAGATAATTGTTTATAAACACTTGTACCATTTTGGTAATGATTGTGGTAGTCTCCACGTTTCAGCTCTATACGATAGAACTGCCTTGACGTTCGAATTCAAAATTCTCATTTTGAAGTTAGTTGATAGTTGTTTTAAGTTCCATATGTTTTTCAATTGTAGAAATACTGCCTTTGCTATGCCAATTCTTGCATCTACATCTGCATCCGATCCTCCTTGTTCATCCATGATGCTACCCAAATACGTGAATGCAATGTTTGTGTGTGCTGCTTCGATGTCCGGTGTATTCAATGGAGCTGGTCTATACGACAATTCTTGGAAATATTCTACCCATCTATTCCTCTGTTCTTGAATCTCGGTGATCGAAATGCCTTCTTTGTCCTTGACCGGTCTCTCTAGTTCACTATATTTTCCTACCAGTTTCTTCTTTGTGTAACACAGCTGTTTCATATTTCATTCACTTGAAGCTTTTTCCACTATCACTAACAGGACTTCCGCGTATTTCTGCTTGTCAGCCCCAATGCTCCCCTTCACTTGCTTGTTTGCTTCAGTGTATTCAGCTTGTGTCTTGACTTTTTCTGCTCTTGTTCGGCTATTGTTAATTGTTGTCTTCTCGTCCTTCTTTTCTTGGATGTTGCCCGGGGTTTCAGTGTCACGATGATCCTTGTTGCTGCCCAGAACCTCCCGACACGTTGAACTTAGTGCCTCTGTGATATTTTTCCAGTTTTCCTCCATAGTAGTTTCTTCTCCTTCTTCCATAGATTCTCTAAGTTTTCGACTTTGTTGTCGAGAGTTATCTTGAATTGGTTGATTTTGTCAGTATCTCGAAAGAGGGCTGTATTGAAACTATGTAATGCTGTACCACCAGTTTTCCAGTATTTCTTTAGCTTCAGTTTCATCTTGGCCACAACCAGGTGGTGACCTGAAGCTGTATCAGCTCTTCGCCCAGTTCTCATATCTTCCATTGTCCTTGTGAAAGTTTTACTGCTGCAAATGTGATCTATCTCGTTCTCTGTGGTGTGATCCGGTGTGACCCATGTAGCTTTGTGTATGCGATTGTATTGGAATATTATGCCACCTATAACCAGTTTGTTGAATGCACATAAGTTTACAAATCTGTCACAATTTTCGTTTCTCTCTCCCAGTCCATGTCGTCCCATTTTATCTCTATATCCCGGCATCAGCTTCGTGACTTCCGAGGAATTTCAACTTTCATCATGAATCGTCATAATTCTTCTAAATGAAGATCCTTCAACTCCCAAGGCAAACTTTTAGTGGTTTCAATTGTTTATTCCAGTCAGTGTTTTTCTACCGAGGCTGTTTTCTACTTGATAAGATTGAAACCCTTGTGGTGGTCGATATTCGATATTATCCTTAAATGTCGTATATTGTTCGTCCTCGTAACCGTTACTCGAGAACACCTCGACGGTGTATAAATCAGAAGGTGAATATGAAGTGTTGATTGCGTTTATTATTGAACCACACACAGATATGCAAAATTACAGGCATGTTAAGCAAGCATGAAAGAGTAGTGACGTGAAGGAAATGAGTGAGCGCGCGAAAGGAATGAGCAAGCGAGAGATTGTTTGATTGAGTCGGTTAGTAATCGAGTACAGTGAACAGGATTAAGATGTACAAATATATACATAGTGAAATGTATGAATCATTGAATCAATTAAGCGATTAATTGTAAGGCCAGCAAAGTGAATATATGCGTAGTTAGTAAGAAATGCTCGAGCGTACGTATAAAGGTACAAAATTATAGAAAGTTCATTATTATACGAATGACTGTGTGTGTTAAATAAGTTAACAAAAGAGTATAACCAAATTAGATGTGAACAAACTTAATTGTGTGTGAGCTGCTATACCCTATTCACAATCCTCCTCGTTTATCTTGGCTTGAGACTGATAGTTACCTTAGAAAAGCTACAGGCGTATTCATAGTTAATTTTAAAGCAAATGCCCACTTATACTTTTATTTATGTTGATTCCAAACTCAATTTAAAATGATAGATGTAACGGTCCAGAAGAACAAAATTCTTTTATGATGGTTTGTTAAAGAACGATGATCTAGGGTTAGTGTGCATTTATCAGAAGGGAAGAAAATTATAGATTAAATAAATTCGTCAATTTTTAATTATAGCTAGATGAAATCCACATATATTTGAAAGAAATCAGACATGTAATTAGGTATTCTGACGAAACAGGTTATATATATATATATATATAAATTAGTAATTTCAACATCTATGAGAGCCCATGTCCATTAGAATATAAGCCCTTCGAATAAAAGTTCATAAAAGTAGCTAAACCAATATGCATACTGAGATTGAAACAGCAATAATTACTTATTTTTGAACTATTACGTCTATTATGATTTGTTTGAGGTATTAACGAGAAATTTACATCACTATACTGTATAGACTTATGCATAGAATAGTAAACTTGGATTCACTATACCTAAATTATCGATCTCAAATAAACTGACGAAACTTTTCTCCTCATTTGGATATAACAAAAAGTATATTTATTATCTCTCCTTTCTGTTTGCCATGAAGGTATATACTAATATGTCGTGTAGATACAATAAAACTTAACTAAACTAATCGTAAAATATTCGAATATTACTTAAATGACGTTTTGTTTTATTTATTCACTTCATTCTTTTTGAGTAGTATTTTCAACTTTTTCGTATAATAACAGCATAACAATGGCAAAAATTATCACTCATTTTTTTCATCTCAGAAGGGGAAGCTTTCAAAATAAAAGCAGTCGAATGTAAGATGAATGGGTTAATGCAAAAGTAAGTGCTTTTGACATATTAGTGCATAAACATAAATGGAACTTTAGTGAAGTTATATGTTGCATAACGAAATTATAAATTAATCTCTAAAAGTTCGTGCCTTCAACTCTTATTTTTGTGCACAACTTAGATCAAATTCCTTAGACTGCATGACAATAAACTGTTTCATGTTTTACACAAATTCACTGAAATATCCTTCAGATTCTATCACATATCAGATGTTGTTTGGGTTGTATACATAACTAACAGTTTGCCTGACTCTCTTGTATTAAAACTCACTTCTCAACTTAGTATTACCTTTTGAGTAATTTGTGCACCTGAAAGTTATGGTAATGACGTCTAATTTGTAAAAGATCATTTATTTTTAAAAAAAGTGCAAAACCTTTATCATGCAGCTAAATATACAGGTGAAATCTAAACAAGAATCAAGTATTTCCGAAGCCCTAGGAAAAAGCGAATGATAAAAAATACTGGTAGAATTCGTCGAAATGCTTAAGTAACTAGTTATTTTATAATGACAAATAGAATGTTCTAAATAGTAACAGTAGTAGACTGAATTAACTACCCTAGTTCATTAATTTAAACCAAGCAATTCGATAACTAGCTACTAAGTATCACTTAATAGTATAAGGGCGAAGATAAATAGTTTTTAAACTGAATGTTTACCATCGATTTGCTCATCCTATATAACTATATTTTTCATTTTGGTTATATTAGTGTAACTTTATTTCGAAAGTGTGTCTAAATGAAAAGTTTTAATGGTGGAACTTTAAATTGTAATGATGTATAAATAAAGATTTGTAGTGAAGTGTCTAATAAAGCATACTTTCTATAATAAATCTTATCGAAAATTATCATTCAGCAATTACGTAATAAAAGATTAACATTTATTTTTTAATTATAAAATAATACATCAGAAGGGGATTTTGTGGATATTTCAGTATTTTCATAGTTGAAATAATGAGTCAATTGAAGCTAGACCACCATGGAAAACCTGGAAGCAGTGGACGGTCGTTTCGTCCAGTGCTTCCAGGTTTTCCATGGTGGTCTAGCTTCAATTGACTCATGATTTCAACTATGAAAATATAAAATAATAGTTATTTATGGTTATTTCTTTTAATATTCCATTTGAATTTGACTTGAACAATACATTTAAATGCTTTGGCATATTCTTTTTTAAAATATGCATATATAAATGGATTACAAATACTATTAAAATAACCTAACCATGAAACAAATGCAATTATAGTATTTGAATATTGACAATCACATATAGCTTCACCAATAATACATATAAAAAATGGAAACCAACATATTGTAAAACATCCAACAACTGCAGCTAAAATTAGTGCAGTTTTTTGTTCCCTATGAAATATTAAATGATCATGTCGACAATAAATTAGATTCTTTTGTGATTGTTCTGTTTTATTGTATTCTGTTTTAAAATTTGGTAAAGATTTCAGTTGTCGAATCTTCTTTATATGATCTATTCTAAATGATGTTAATGAGAGTAATTTTGAAGAATTAATTAATTGTTTATCTTCTAGTTTATTCTTTTGTTCTTCATTGCTACTATGCAAGTAATCATGTTGATGTTGTTTTGTTTCACTTTTCAATGTTACATTTGGTGTTGGCTTCAAATTCACCTTTTGTAATTCTTTCTCTGATGTTGAAATATGAAATATTTGTATTACTTTTAGCGTTTGATCTGTTGGTTCAGGGAAATCTAATTCAACATGATCTTGAGTTGTCAAAGAAAATTCTCTACCTGTTTTGTTTGTCTTAATATCTAATATTTTTTGTCTATAATTCCTATCAATTTCTTCATTAAGAATGTCATCACTTTTAAAGGAATCAACGGGATGTTTGTGGTTGAGTAAACAACTCGCATAAATTTGATTACATCCGTTTTCATCAGAATGGAAAAAATGGCCACTATATGGGCAAGTATTCTTTGATTTAGATGACTGATATCGTAAAATATTTACTTTGCTAGTCTTTCCTTTAATATTTTCCCAAACTTGTTTCAAATTTATTATTATCGGAGCTGGCTTACGTATCGTTTTAATATGTGGTTTAGGTTCTTTCGGTGAGGACTGTTTAATGTTTGTAATTTGTAAGACCTTTAAACGATGCTTTATTATCCAAAACACTCGTAAATATATATAAGCAATTAGCAGAAATGGTCCGAAAAATCCAACAATTGAAGAATAAATTCTATATGCTTTATTATATGTGATATGACATGATCCCAGTCCCAAAGTATGCTGATTCCCACCAACAAAGGGGAGAAGCATAGTTATAAGTGGCAATATCCAAGCAACAGCTATCATTGTAGAGGCTGTAAAACGAGTACGCTTTGTGAAATATTTCATTGGACGGCTGATTGCAATATATCTATCCAGAGATATACAACATAAATTTAGTATAGATGCCATACATAATACAATATTAGCGGACAACCAAAACTGACATAATCGATCAGATTCGAATGGCCAATAACCTAAATTCTGACGAACGATAGCCAGAGGCAGCACTAAGACCGATACAAGTAGATCAGCCACAGCAAGGGAAACAATGTATTGATCCGTTATACGCCGTAAGCGACTATTTGTTATAAAAGCAATAATTATTAACAAATTTCCGAGGAATATAGTTCCAGTGGCTATAATTAAAAATAATGATATGGCCCATTTTATTATGGGGTTCGAAAGGATCCATGAATTCATTAGGGAATCTGGAATAACACTGGAATTTAGTGACGTTTTGTTTATATATTGCATTAGGTCAAATGTATGGTTAGTTTTTTGACAATTTTTCAAAGTACTCTGGATCATGAATGTATTGAGTTTATTTACTGTGCTTTCAAATTGTTTGTATTTCTTCGATTGTTAAATCTCCTCTGCTATTTTGTAATGGATATTTCAGTTTCATTGTAACTTCAGAATTAAAAGGTAACTTAGTTAACGAATGAATACAAACTACGAGAGAAAGGAAATCAAAAAAACAGAAACCCTTCTTAAATAAATATAAATGACCAATCAGAAAACAACATCAAGTTTTTTATTTCACCAATAATACTCCTAAATTATTTATATTGATTGGTGAAATAGCTATATTAACCATGTTACTTAGAATGTTATTCATATTTCGAACTATTGAGGCGAATAGTATAATTGCTCTTTTATGATAGAAGGCAGAGAATTTCATAATCTACTCATTGTAATGGTTCACTTATTTTGACTGTACTTCTGTAGGCTTTAAAAATATTTTTATCATAACTGTTGCTTAGATCTTAAACATTGACTTGACTGTACCGAGCACTAGACTCAATGTAATTACAAAGCTATGGTATTTTATTAAAAGTTACTTCAATCGGTATGATACTGAACAGAGATCCTATAAACTAATTTCACTGCAGAAAAATATACGTTGACAAAAAGGCCAGAAATATATTCTCATGTTACTTGTGCTATAACATACACATGGGTTCATTCTAATTTTTTGACAGACAAATTATATTGACTCTATCGGTAATTTTGTACACCTGTCTTTGTTAATTAATCACTTGTAACCGTGATCGTTTTTTATAAATGTGTGTATGACAACATATATGTGTTTATTTATCCCTTGTATTACTAACATGACTTGATATTTCACTCATCGTTGTGTTAGCTTCAGTGCCTTACATATTGGATGCGTCTTTAATGATTTTTCTGTCGTTTAATATTCGCATGAATGTAATACACGTATCTAATGTACTCATATTCGAATCTTATATCTGCGTTGTATTAATGTGATTAGTCGACAAAATGTACACTAAGTAAATTAGGATTGATATCTTATTGGCATCATCATGAATGGAGTCAACGCGGTGCCTCAAACCTACTGAAGGCTTTCAGCGCGTTATCTTCCAAAATTACCAATAAACTCAAAGTGGCTTACATAAGATACTATTTTCATATCTATTTGTTCTTAACTTAAGCGAGATGATCCAATAGGTATCTTGACCATTATCATCAATTTGTATTATAAAAGAAAGCATTAAAATATATTACAAGGATATTTTCCAATAACCTTAAAAGTTTTCATACGTAGTGTTTCTCTAGCAGTGTGGTAGTTTAATTTTTGGATGAGCCAGTCAGATCTACCCTAGGAACTCTTGAATTTTTGTCAAAGTTAATTAGTTTATACAACTAAATGGCATTTCGGCATTATAACTGACGTCACATATTGATAAAATCTTTAGTTTTGATTTCAAACTATAACTTCTAATCATAAATCTCAATTCTGATTAATCACTCTAACTTTTGATTTTTATTTCAACCCTAGTAAGTGGTCGACGTTTCTCAGACCACTTCAATACCGCTAAAAAGTCGTTACTACTTTATGCGTGTAAAACGTAAAACTTAAAAATAGGTAATCTGTGTGTTGGCCAACGTTTGTTTATCGCATCGATCGTATATGGCAGCGCCATCAAGTAACTGATGTGTTTAAAATACACATGAAATGTAATACATCTTAGACAATGCCTTCTTTAAATTATATGGGTGTCTAACGTAAATTAAATGAAAACATGAAAGTAGTTCATAAAGTCACTGACTTCTGAACTTGATTATGTGAGAATTCTTATTGGGATTCACACGAAATGAGTCATTTATGGTCGCAATTAAACGATACAAAAATTGTTAGCAGTTACGTAGATGCAATAGTTACCTATCCGTTTTGGTATTTTTAGATTTATTATTCATTCCCTATTGCGATCAGTCACTTAAAACGTTTCTTTATGTTTATTGTTTTACTATCTTCCATTTCATTTTTCAAACCGTCCTCACTGCGCTGACATGAAATTTGGCAACCTGAACCAATACTCACTAGTCTAGTGTCCAACACTATTTTTTGTATGAAACTCAGTAGTCATAAACTGGTGATGTAAAAATAATTATGAAGGTAAATTTTCTGAGAGAACTGTTGGTCATTGTTTCACACATATTAATGTACACATATGGCTTCTTTTGGCACAGTTAGATGGATTTCAAAATAACAGTTAATATTTTATGATTCGGTTAATTACTGATCTAAATAATGTATTGTGATCAGTCACTTGACTGAGGTTTGAATTAAGGATATGGTTCTACAAATATTAGAACTATGGTCAGCTTTTCTGAGTCTTCAACTAATTTATCAACGTATATGAGGTGATCTGATAGTGTCTCACTAATAGCTTCACTTTCGTAGCATATTATTCTTGTGGAAATAAAGTCTGTGAAATTTTAGTGATATACTTTAACGAAAACGTTTTATCATCCCAGGGGTTAATAATTGTTGGATCATCTAGAAATGGATGGTTTAAGACATCAATAGTTGTTCATATATACCGTCGAATTTATTAATTTGCGATTTTCAGATATACTACTAATGAGTAGACCAACTATTACACGGATGGTTTTTATGAGAGCAAGAACAAAGATTTGAGTAGAATGACGTGAATCCATTTTTATTTCGTTTGACTCTCGTCAGCTACTTACAACCTGTGATGCTAAAATTCGTAATTACGAAATAGGTCCAATTTACTTATATAGAAGAGTTTAGTCGGAAGTTACTTTGTAGACACATCAGTATAGTAGAGCAATGGTGTAAATAAATTTATTAGATTGTCAACAAAATCCGGCCTAAAACCACCCTGCGGTCCTATTGAGTAGTAGTAGAAACCTTGCTAACTAGCTAGGGAGGTTAGAGGAGACCGGAATAATCCACTTCTCTGATGTAAAACAGATTAACTGGATTCCATTTTTCGACACTCTCTAAAATCTTGCGAGCTACCCGATGTGTATGCTTATGTATGTGAATTGCATGAGCTTCGGCTTGTGTGGTATATATATGTGGGTATGTGCAAAGGTCAGCACAGATAACGTAAGATGAAAATCGTCTTCCTTATTCCCAACAAAATCAGTCGCCTAATCCTTCAGGTCTAATATATAGTAAAAAATATGGTAGCAAATACTAGGGAGAAGTGACCATTAACCTTCCCTGAAGGAGTGTTTATGTGTATGCCGTGAAGAGCGGGAGTGAAAGTCTATGCACCAGTGATGTGTGTGTAATGTTTAAGTGACAGTTGGTTGTAGAAAACACGTTTGAAGAGATCATCTACCCTCCCAGGTGTGTGAATATACGTATATGTACGTCATGGGATGCATGAGTGGAAAATTGTGTGTTCTCGGTTTGCATGTAGTCTCTACCTGCTCCCGGCGCGACACACACAAGCCAGAACCCGGATGTTCTGACGATTTTCCAACGAAATCACGTCCACACGCCGTATTCGTGAGCCTCGGAAAGCGAATTATGGTCCAGATAAGCTAATTGGCTTAACTGGATAAGTCTTGATCGATCTGGAACACCGTAACAGAGTGAACAAAATATTTTAAATATATACCTCATGTGAAAGAGCACTCTACAACATCGATAGTAATGAAAATCCAAAGGAATACAAGCTGTTTGTTTGGTGATGATTCATTAGGAATTTTAAAATTTTAACATTATGTATATTTTCCAATAGATGACCGGTGATCACATTGTTGAGAACACGTCTGCATCTTGATCGCAAATTCTGTAGAACGTCTCTGAAGATACGAACAACAAATCTCTTCCCTTTTGCTAATGTATATGTTGATGTGCACTGATATGTAAGTTTGTGTTGATAATGTTTTCAGAAGAACAATGAAGGCTCCATTATCAAGCCATCCAGCTCAGAGAACGGAACTCCACCAAAAACATTCACCTAAGCAATAAATCTTTTCTACTATTTCAACAACTTCAGTGAGATGAAGTGGTAATTTGTTCAATGATGTCTTTTTTATTGAGCGATTCCCCTTATATAATTTGATTTAAGAAGTTGGTAATTGAAACTGAAATTAGTATTTGAAAGTAATGTAAATTGATTAGAAACTAAACCACACTTTTTTCAAACCAAATGAACTATGTAATCGAACAAGTAATTGAATGTTTCTCGTATATTTTGTAGTAAATATACAAATAAAAAAATGTAATGACCTATTGTTTATTTAAATGTACTTGGTGACCGATTGTTAATTTAGCTCAATATTTTCATTATGAATTTCAAGAATAATAAATTTTCAGCCCGAATGCTGAATGAGGTTTGGGAAGATCTGAGATTTTCTTTAGAATAAAATCCATAATTAAAGCTTATCTGTGAATTGGGGAGATATATTCATAATGTGAATAAACAAGACTTAAACAAATCCTAAATTAACATGCTTTAAACAGTGTACTTTGCCCTTGAATTGACCATTTTTTCGGATTATTAATTTGGATATATAATTGCAGAACCTGAAGATAATTTATCGAAAAGAATGTTCTTCCTACAAATATTGATCTTTTAATATGATGGGGATCTTTAAACGAATCAAAAAGTCATTGGATGTAGACATGTACTGAACGGGAACACAAATGTGGAATTTCTTAGTAAAATCGCGGATGCTCACTGCTGAGGAGTTCCACGGTAGGACAAAACGACCTTCCAGTGCTTTCAAGTTTTCCATAGTGGTCTAGCTTCCATTGACTCATGATCTTAACTATAAAATAACTAAAATCTCCACGAAACCCCCCTCTGATAAAATCTAAGAACCATACAGTAAATAATTCGCTTGCAAAATATCAGTCTATCGTCTCAGAATTCACTGTTCCTTCATTTCAATACCAATCATTCTTTATTCTCACTCTCTTTTCTTCAATCTTCTTAACATTTTACTACCAGATATTTCACTTCCGATTCATGATATATACTACTTATATCTATCGACATCAGTAGCACACATCA